TCTTCGACTTGTCTCTTCTGCAAGGCGAAGAAGAAATGCAGTTGTGAGCAGTCGCACTGCTTCTGTATGAAAAAATAAACACCTTCTGGGTTTTAAACACTTGGCGACACGGCTGCTATGTTGACGGCTGAGAGCCAAAGTGGTTCCGTAACTCTGCCTACAGCCCATACAGAACCYGCGACAGGCAGCAGTTCAGGCACGGTTAAGCAGCTGGATGGGTGAGGTCACTGGGGAGAGATGTAATAATGGAACAGAGCTGGAGGTGTTGAGGAAAAATTAGATGTGAAAGGGAATCAAAATGGGGACGATGAAGCAGGGATAAACAGGAAGTTTGGGGGGGGGGGGAGAGAACATGTGGGACAAAAGATGTGGAGAGGTGAAGGAGGGATCAGGGCTTTGTGTTTGGAGGCTGGGGATGTGTAATGGTAGATATCTGCACAGCGCATGGTCATCTCCTGTGGTTTATTTATCCAAGGCCTCCGGACCAGGCCTCGGACCTCCCTGAGTTTGTTAGGGCTTGAAGGGGCCCCCTTACCGCACAGCCCAATTCCTCACATTCCATGTTAGCTCCCATTTCCAGCTGCTTGTTTCCCTTTACCGCTCAACCCGACCCAGCCCAGTCCAACAGAACCAGTTCCAGCAAAGCGGGGAAGCCGGAGAAGCATCCCAAATGAGTGAGCATGAGGAGTGGATGAATAAATCCAGATCTGTAAACTGCAGTGTGTTGGTGTGAAGATGAAAAGTGAACAATTATATCACACAGATTAAATTAGACCAAACGGTTCAGATCTACTACATCAACTTCTATCAGTAATAGCAGCTTTACATAAAGAATTTAGTTAGTTTTTATTTTGAATATTTAGCCCAAAAAGTAAGAAAAATTGTGTTTGGTAGATTATTTCTTTGTTGTAAAAATGCTCGTTGGCAATAAATCTTATAAGGGGCACCTGATTGGTAGCACCTGGGGGTACCAGAGGCCCAAAACAAGTGCCACTGCAATGACGGAAAAGATTTGGCAAATTTTTCATGTGCACAACCCACATCCTCAGCTCTACTGCTCATCCCACAAATGCATGTTCCTTACAAATGTGGCACCGTTTAAATGGGAAATCAACAGGCTTTCCAACAGTATAAGATTTATTGTTACAACAAAGAAATAAACATACACAAAATTTCTTTACATTTTTTGCTAAGTTTAGACCATGTAAAAAAAGGTATCCTTCATTTCTGTCCATTTCTGATGGTACACCTGAGTTAACACATTTGAATCTAGTTTAGTTTTAAACATTACAAAGTATAGTCCATGTTACAATAAAACACCAATTTTAGAGGTATTGGTTGGGAAATAAACTTTAAAAAAGGTTTTGTCACTATCTTTGTGAACTTAAGCTAGCAATATTGGGCAACCAATACTTCTGTTCAAATCTGTAACTGCAAATATTTTAGTGCTGGGCTATTCAACTGGTGGCCCATGGGCCACATCYGGTCCGCAAGTGACCAAAGTACAACCTGCCAATTGGTTCATTMATCTCTTAAGTCCAAACCCCCGGTTTTCTACTTTAATTCCCATGAGTTCTTTTAGTTAGACATAGACATGTGTGGTATCTACAGAAATGTCAGAATCTTGGCTACAAGCTRGTAAAAACTATTTCTATGAACATCCAAGACAGTTAAAGCTACAAGGAGTTGATAATAAAATTAAGAAAGTGAAAATAAAATTGGTTTAAAAATTTGGCAAGTCAGAGATGTCAAAATAATATTTGCATTATATAGGAGGCCTAATGTGTTTTTTGTTTTTGATATTGTTTTATTATCACTACTTCTATTGAATGTTGTATGCAGCAAAATAAACTAATGACTAATAACCCTATACGATGAACTACACAAATAAYACTGAATCCCCCCAAAACTATATTTCAGGCAAAGGATGTCTTATGCTGTTCCAGAACGCCCACGTTCCGTTTGACATATTTGTTTGTTTTTATGGTAATTCTGAATGTTGAGGGGTTGCAAAAGAAGAAAAGAAAGGATGAACTGGTTGTAACTCCTTGGTGTTTTTTCAATACCCATATGATGCACAGACTCCATAGACAAGTGATGACTTCAAACTCTTTTGTTCTTCTTGCAGACTTCATGTCAACAGTGATGATGGACGTAACATAACAGCAAACTGTGACACTGATTGTACCACAAACTCTACGAGCTTGTAGCACTGTCGCTTTGGTTTAGGTTGATTGACTTCGGCTTCAGATTGTTTTACAGTCACCCCAAGGGCCTCGGATTAGCACCGGCCACCTGACAAATTCTCCACTCAGCAGCACAGGTTGGTGTTTGTTCTTCATCCCCATAGGGCCATGAGTGGAGCCAATGGGGGCTTGTATTAGCATTAAGTCTAGTTTAAGAATCATCTGTCACTTTTTTTTTCTGCTTGTACTTTTCTTCTTTTTTATTCAGGCTTTAACCTTAGGTGAACTGCTTTTTGAACCCATGAAATCATGCATGGCAAGATGTGGAAACTTTCCAAAAGGTTTCACAGAGATACACCGAGATGAGGCTGTTAAACTCAGCCAGACAGCACCAAAGTGTTGACAATAAAATATGTATATGTAGAAAATATCTTTCAGGTCCACCATTCCCCTCCATACCATTTTACATATTTTAAATTTCTGTTTGTTTTTGCTATGTTTTACATGTTTTGCAGGGTGGAAGAAAACCCATTGACCAACTCTCAGAAGCTTTCAGCCTCATGAGCAGGGGTGGTTCTAAGGGGGTGGCACACAGTGGCAGCTGCCACTGGGGAAATGAAATAACTTGTCACCCCAGTTGCCACCCTATTTGTAGGCTAGTTTTTGTACATTTTGTACAATGTGGAAAGTCAAGAACAATATTAAACAACTTTAGTCTCTTTCCTTATTTATTTATTTATTTATTTATTTATTTATTTATTTATTTTACACACGTTTCTTGATTTTCAAAATGGTTTTACCTGCCAATCACTGAAATTTCCACTATCGGAGATGACAGACAAGAATATACAGTCATTGAACCTGGTACTGAAGCCAGGACAGGACTGGTTTCTCCGCTGGGTGCTTCCAGTACAAGTTTAAAGTCCTGCGATTTACTGTTGTTTTGCTCCTCAAGTATGCGTTGGGTCAAGTACGTTTTGTGGCTCTAAACAAACTTTGTTTTGTAGGTCCTGCTTATACAATGCCATTTTAAAGCAAAACCGTAACTTTTCCGTTGCGTCTCAGCCATTTGAGATTGATTACTCTGACACCAAAAGTTTTTAAAAACAGGTCTCAGAGTGAAAGTTTTTAGAGACACTTTGTTTCGAGAAAATTCAATGCAGGCGAAATTACACATGCCGACGACAGGGTTTATGTGTTTTGTTGCGTAAATCGGCAACAACAGTTAGATTGGCAAGTGTTGCTCAAGACATTTATTCTGAATGTGGATATTTGCTTCGACAAGACTTCCAGTTGACATTTTCCTAACTCTTTTTCAGATTAYGTGCTGCTGCAAACTATCGTCATCCATGGTCCCAACAAATTTATGTGGGATCACCACTTCAGAAGATGATGTGTGGATCAATACTGAAATATTGATAGTACCGATATCAGAACTTTATGGTCTAGAATCGACACTAAAACCAAAATATCGAACTTTCATTATTTCAGTAATTTCAGGTAATGCACTGTATATCATAGACAGTGGAAAATAACTAAACTATTCAAATCTTGTGGTTAGAGGGAACTACTTTTTCTTACACTTGGAGGATGCATTAGTGCAGTGGCACGTGCACAGTCAGTCTGTAGACGTTACAAGTGGCAGGTTAGTTTAACATAAAATCAGCTTTGCCTGACTGCAATTACATTCTAGATGAGGGGTTCCCAATTTTTACATGCTTTGGCCCCCCAAACAGCATTAGCTTCTGGCCGGAGGCCCTTGTCCAAACAAAGCTATAAAACATGTGAAGAAACATCAACCTTTAGTATTTTTTTCTCTTTTATTCACTATTCAAAAACTATAACATTTGTTTAACAGAATAATTTTAAATTATGAAAAACAAATACACTACGGTTAGGGTTAAAAACTTTTAAATTAATAAATAAATGTCTGTCTTGTATTCTTTATAAAGTGGTTATTTGAAAAATGTTACTTTTTTATATTTACCAGGCATATTAAGTGTGTTAGCACAAAGTATCAGTATCAGCATTGCCGATACCAGCTTGAGATTACTCGGTATCAGTATCGGAAATAAATTTGGCAGTATCATACATCACTACTTCAGAAATAATTGTTTACATGCTCAACTCATGATGACTGCAGTGTTTGCTTGTGTGTGTTGTTGAAATACAAAAATCACAGCGCCATCTAGTGACCTGGCATGAAAACTACAGCAATTTTAACCTTTTTTGCATTCTCATCTAAACACTGACTTTAAATAACTTTTCCTCAATCAACATCAAAAATTTGTAAACTTTCCAAGTGGCCTTAGATGTAAACATAGTCTCTCCTCTGGGCAAAACGAGAAAAAAAATAGAAAAGGAATTGCATGTTTACATTCTTAAACAGAACTGCTTTACCTGCTCTTTTTTTTTCCTGATTGGCGCATTAAAAATATAATAATAATAATAATAAACAGTTTGCGTGTTGCTGATATGTACATGGGTAGATGTGGGAGAAGCTGTGGAGACCAAATGGGGGTGTGGAAAAAGAAAAAGGGAGTGTGGAGGTTGCGGTGGTGGTGGTGTGCACGACCGAGTGCGCGCGCGCGCGCGAGCGTGCACGAAAAGTTTATTGAAAGAGTTCCTCTCCCCCTCCTCCACTCCCTCCCTCCCTCCAAGCCCAGGCAGCAAGCAGCCTGGGTGGTCCCCTCCCCACTTCCCCTCCTCCCCCCTCCAACCCCCCCCCCCCCCCCTCTCTCCTCCTCTCTCTCTCTCTCTCCACTTTGGTGAGCTGTTGCTTAGCAGCTAATAATAGGCGATGTTTGCAAAGTAATTTGCCACTTCCTTGGCCAATGGGAGCCGGAGCACTTTTCCATCAAACCTCCCTTTTTCAGGATTTGCCGAGAGGCGAAGCTCTCCAAATGTTACCGCTGCGGGATCGAAGTTAGACTTGACGCGGACAGCTCCGACTCTCTCTCTCTCTGTCTCTCTCTCTCTTTCTCAGGCTACTATTTACCACAACTACTACTACTATTACTACTACTACTGCTGCTGCTGCTGCTGCTGCTGCTGCTACAGCTCCTCTCTGAATTCTCCCCCTAAACTCTCGGGACGAATGAAGACTGAAGGATCCGCACGGATTTGGGCGCATAATGTTGGGATGGAGTTTCGCGACTTGTTTGGCTCCTCCGTGGACGAGTAGAAGAGCGAGGTTTCCGTCGCCGGCGGTGCCGCGGCCGCAGCTGGATGCGCTCCGCTTCTATGTTGGATTATCGCCGTCGCTTTCCCTGAACTCGCACCGATTCCTCCGCGTCGCGTCGGCCCCAGCTCATCCCCTCCGTGGACTATGGCCTCGGACCGCGGGGTCCCGGGGGCCACCGGCGGCGTCTTTGGAGATTTACCCCCGAGTTATGCGCGCTCCCAGCCGCCTGCGAACCCAGACCTTCTCCGGAGACCCAGCTACTGCCACGCTGCTTTCGCACTTAAACAGATCTCAAAGGTGATGCTTGTTTATTTTTATTTTTTTTTTTGTAGTTTTATTTTTTTATAGAGTGGTTTACCAAAAGGGTTGTTGTCACTCGATCAGGAAAACTCTTAATTTTATGGGCTTTCTAGATCTGATTAGACTGTTTTAACAGCTTCAAAATAAAAAATAAAACAAAAACCTATGGTATAAGGACCACCAGAGCTCCCTGAGAGAATCAGGAATTAGAGCAAAAGAGAAAATAAATGTCCTATCCTGTTTGCTGTGCARACATTTCTGGAAACCATCAGGTTTAACATTGAATGGACCTGAGTTTCTCATTCATTTTTCCCCCTTTCCCTCGCTGATATAAAGTTTAATGGTAAGGTGCTTTTGTTGTTCCCTGCACTTCCAGCCGTGCTGTCTTGTGCATGTTTTTCTGTGCGTGCAGCCAGCGGAGAGCGCACGGCCGCTGCGCTCGGGGTCTGTTTGGAAACGCGGTGGGTCCATGTGAAGGAATTCACTGATTGAGTTTGATCTGACAAAGCATCTTTGGACCGCCCGGATGCTTTGGACGTGTTTCAGGACTGCTGAGGGGGAGACCACAACAGCAAGCAGAGCAGTGGCATTTTTTGGGGGGGAACTTTGAAGGTTTCAAACACAGATTGGGGCATTTAAAGTAAAAAAAAAAAAAGGAGAAATACTAAAAGACAACACAACATGATTTTCATAAGACACRACTCTTTTTGTAAAGCAGACATACTAGTTTTATGTTATGCACATGCAGAAACCTCACTTATTTGTGTATCTTTAAAGTGTCTAGACACTTTGCCTGCAACACTAGTTAGATTATTTAAATAGATCTTTAGTATGTTGACAYTTTTGCCTGATTGTCAACACATTAAAAGCAAATAATCTCTGCTTATGATCATATTGAAACTACAGGCACACAAATGGCATTTAAACCCTAGCTGTCACTGAAGTGGAGCTGTGGTTTTTCATAAAGAATGTTTTAGGTTTGTCATAGTTTTGGTGTCATAGGCTCTTAAATCATGTCCTGTCAAACTCTTCGGGCAGTTGTCACCGTGCTAGGCAGTTGAAGCTTGAGAACTGAGATGCACAAACAGTGATGTGATGCATTATGTAGTATTGCTATAATAATATCCTTTTTTTTCTCGCCCTCCCTCCTGTGTGAAATCCAGGGAAAGGCGGTAGGTCAGAAAGCTCCTCTGTGGATCCGGGCGAGGTTCCAGGCCTTCCTGTTCTCTCTGGGCTGCCACATCCAGAGGCACTGTGGGAAGGTCCTCTTTATCGGACTCTTAGTGTTCGGGGCTCTGTCTGTGGGACTCCGAGTCGCAGCCATCGAAACAAACATCGAGCAGCTGTGGGTTGAAGGTGAGTTTAAGACGTCACTCGTTTACTACGGTTTGTGTTCGGCTGTGTTTGTGCGAAGCAGCACTGGAATCACTGCAGTCGTCTCCACATTGATGGTTGTGTTGTCATCTGATCATCTGGTGTGTGGGCTTTGAGATTCCGGACAGAAATAGTTCCGTTTTTTTTTCCCACTAACAAGACAATAATGTGTTGATGGGAAGATGCTGGATGACAAGATTTGTGTCATCTTAGTGGGAGGAAATAGGTGTTCAGAGTCTGACACACTGGATGGTCTGGCTGGATTTTTTTTATTTTTTTTTTAAGAGCAGCAGCAAAGTTGAGGCTTTGCAAGAGTTTGTTTGAAGTGGTTTAATGAGCACACAGTTCCTGACTGTGCTTTGTGGATGGGATTTTTTTTTCTCAGTAGAGCTTTATCTGAGAAACACAATCACATATTTGACACTTCTTTCCCCTTAAACTGCGTTCTGCTCTTCTTCTGTCAAACAGAAACACTTTTTCTTGTTTACAGTTTGGCCTCTTTATAAATGTCGCCGCGCTTGCCTGCTCCTTCCCTCTGCACGCCTTTTTTTTTAAGTTATCTGCACACATTCAGAGGCGAAGGCAGCTTTATTTAGTTTTTCACACTGGCCAAATTCCTTTTAAACCCTCAGGCTTTCTGTGCCGGGCCTGATCCCTGCAGCAGATGGACTGTGTGAATGGTTAGCCATCTTTGAGGGCTCTGACCCCTCCCCCCCTCGAGCTCCCTGTGTGGTCCCTAACTATTCTTGGATTCCATTCAACAAGAGGCAAGCAGGCACCACCTCCCTAAACCCCCCCTCTGCTCCCTCCCTTTTCCTCCTTCTCTTCTCCTCACCAGCAGAAGGGGGGAAAAAATACATATAAGTGAATGCAGCTGAAGTTTACCCACCTGTTTTGCATGCTCTAAAAGCGCCACAGCAGTTGGTGAATATAAACAGACTCTATAGGGTTTTCAAGCCCACCATGTCACCAGAGGACAGGAACAGGCGGCTCCCGCAGGACCTGCGCGGAGGTGTCGCAGCACCGCCGGTGTCGGGAGAAGTGTTGGGAGGCCGTACGCTTCACTTGCACAGGAATTTGAACAAGCCCCCCCATCCAGCTGTACTTAAAAAGAAAAAAAAACATTCTGGGTAGAATGCAGCTAATAAAAATTATTAAATGAGATGGGAGGAAAAAACGTAGAATTTCAAGCACGAACAAGAAATCGAAACGGGAACTGTTGCCTTTCCCTTTGGTTTCCATCTGGTTAGTGGGATTACCTCTTGAGCTAATTGGCCGAGATGTCTTTTAAAAGAGATGTTTAGGTGTTTGTGTGCCAGTTGTTTTGCTGTGGGATTTGGGGGAGCGGGGGCTGAAAGGGAACGCTGTGCCTTTAAGAGGCTGTGGCCATGTTTCTAAAGTTTCTGCCTGCCTTGTTTCCACCAATAGCCCATTGACAAAGCTGCTAGGGCCTCAATGAAGAGTAAAGTGGTTCGGTAACAAGGAGAGGTTAGTTCCCTCTCTGTTTCCCTCTCTCTCACACACAAACTGGGAGCAACACACACACACGCACTGCTGCACATGAGCCAGAATAATCAGCTCACAACTAAGATTTCAATTGATGGGACTCTTAGTGTTACTTAAATGATGCATTGTAAATAAAAAAAAACATATTTGTTGTAAACACCCAAGCTTCCATTTTATTCTAAGATTGCTCAGAGTAAACTAGCTGTGAATTGACACCGTATGTGTTAACACTCTGCCTGCAAGGTGTTAAGGAGCATATGCTTCCTATCATATATTCATACGAGAACCTGCCCCTAGAGTTTTCACACTCACTCACTCGCTCGCTCGCACACACGATCGCACACTCGTCATCTTTGTCACCTCCATCCGTGTACAGCTGGCTCGGCCGCCCGCCTGCCTAAACGTTCCTGTCTGTCTGCCTGTGTTTGTGTTTCTACCTGTGTGTCTGCCTGCTCTGTGAAGTCAGGCCACCGTGGCGCTTTTAATTGCTTCCTTTCATTCTCCACGATGGAAACTTTGTGAATCAGAGCAGCTTGGGTCTAGAAAGAGTAGATGTAGAGAAAACTCGAAGGGCTGTCCCGATATATTATCGTCTTCCTAYGTTTGCCAGCATCAGTTGGCTGGATTTGAAGATTCGCGTCCACCTGCGGTGTGGACACGCATCTCGTTGAAGCTGAAGGATTCGTCACACCTGTGATGCAAAATGCGACGGGTGTTTAGTCTGCGATGGGGATTAAGACCTGTTTCTGGCTCAGCTTCAGGGAGAGAACCATCAGTCCATTTACGGGTCACACAAATGCAGTCGTATTCCTTTAACCCACATAATTTAACGCACTTTATATTATTCCATCTGAGATTATTGTGAGACCTGAGCTCTGTATTGTTCACAAGCAGAAAAGAAAGATCATAAAAGAGGTTCGGGAAGAAGACAGGGATGAGAGGAGACAATTGGGAGGGGTTGGGGCAGGAACAGGGTAGAAGGTTTATGGCTCTTGAGCACCCTTTTTTTTCCTGGTATTTTTCCTGCCTCACATGAACAAACACCAAGCGTGAGACTGTCTCCTGCGTTTCTTCACTTCCCGACAAAGTGCAGTGTGTTTTTACAAGAGTTTGTTTTCTTTAGCTCAGAAGTTTACCAGGACCTGATTATCCGTTTTTCTGTGAGTGTGAATGCTTTTGGCTGATTCTTTTCTGTTGGTTGATCTACCTTCACAATGCTTGAAAAAAGCTTGCTTGCGGAGGTGAAAAAAAAAAGGTCTTTATGTTAAAAAAAAAAGGAGTTGTGTTTACTCTGATATCAACTAAACTCATCTTTCTTAGAACGGTTTGGGTGAGGCATGACAGACATATACACAGACTCAAGCTGTCCAAATACAAATGCAGCAAGACGGGGCCTAGCAGTCGCACCACATGTCCCATAAAAATGTGTAGAAAAGTGGGGGAGGTAGAGAGCGTTCACAGTCCTCATGACTGAAGTTCTGCTTTAGCCTGCAGTGAAATTAGACAGGATATGAGAAGATCAAGAAATAAATTGATTAAAAGAAGAAAATAAAGCGAGATGCAGGTTGAAAAAGAAAAAAAAAACCACACCTCTGAGTTTACGCAAATGACTGAACGCACGTGGGCATTTCGGAGTTTGGAGCAGTTTCTCTAAACAAACCTCAGAGCGGTGCAGCAGGTAAATGCTATAATTCATTGGAGTGCACACAGCAGCCCAGTTCAGACAGAGAAAGGGAGCTCTATGAGGCATTATTGGAGGTGAATAGTGCGCGGTGGTGCCCCAGCTAGATAAATAAACTCCCAGCGTTCAGGGCCCAGGACCTCACTGGTAGAGAGAACAAACAAGACCAGAGTCAACTTGGGTCACTTCTAAATGTTTATTTCACCCCCTTTCCTTCCATCCTTCAATTCAACACTACTTCATTCCATCCTTTTTTTCTCAGCATCCCCCCCACCCCACAACACACAGACCAGGACACCCCCCACACACAAATAAACACACAATGGGCAGCAATAAGCATGTAACAGACATGGATTTTGCTGTTGCTGCACATGAAACGCAAAGAGAACACATCATTTATTTGTAAAATATCAGTTTTGTTATATTTATTAGTTTGTGATCAACAGTGTTCCTTAAAAAATATTCATTGATGCTTTTATTTATTTTTTTGTTCCAAAACTTGTACTGTTGTCTTGGCGTGTCTTGGCTACATTGAATGTGATATTCTTAGAAAGGCGACAAAGCAAACCAAAATAACAGCATAATAAAATCTCAATCAGTGTAGTGTGGCACCCTTTCTCCCCCTGGGTGAAGATCAACCTTTGCCTCTGCTCCGGGCAAAATAAAGCAACACCAGCCACCTTAGAGTTTGCACCATTTGCATCTATCTGTCTTTACACCATGAAAATACAAAAAAAAGGAAAGAAAGAGTGAGACGGAGACTGAACATTTTCTTGGTACTTGGGAGGGAAGAAGAGGAGGAGGGAAAAAAAAGAAATGGTTCTTGGGCTCAATAAATTCATTTCTCATCTGAATGCGACCAGCAACGTGGAAAAATTTTGCTTTTCAGGCAGGGATGAATGTATGTTTCAACCACACATTAAGCAGTATTAGCGGTCAGTGGAGTGTCTAATGTGACTATTTTTCACAGTGGCCAACACTGCCCATGATTAGCATAATTAGCAGAGGCAAGCCTATACATATGGAAATAGAAAGTGCCTAAATGCCAACCGTGGTGGAAATTTATGTGTGGTGGCTAACACCACTGGCACATCTGAATAGAGTGTAAGTGAAACTGATTTTTCATCTTGTTTTTGCTCTTCATACAGTTGTGACTGCAGGATAGAGTGGACCCACAGAATTTAATCAGACTGAAATTGATGATGTTGTTTTCTTGTGTTATTGCATCGAATGGGATTATCCCCCCTAAATAATGTTGATTCATGAAGAGATACAGTGCATTTCTATAGGTAAGACAGCAACATGCCAGCTTCTCTTTTCGTGCCCCCCCTATCCTTACCCTCCCACGCCTGGCCCTGGCATTGTTTTACAAGCTGGGAAAGTTTAGGTCCATTTGTGAAAAAGACCCTTTTCTTATTCTGCTGTTTGTTGGGAAACATTTGAAAGAAATTGAAGTGTTGAATGACAAAAGCGTCTGCATTCAGTCTGGAGCTGGACTGGAGGATTGTATGGAGGAAAGGCCCATCTGCTTGGAGCAGCCTGCTTTAGGCGGTGTCCTGGCTGGGGGGACGCCATAGAGCAGGAGCACTTTTAGGACCAAAAGGATTTGATTCTGGTCAACTTTAAAAAATAAACTAAAATGGGTTTTGGAGTATGATTGGTTAGATTTAGGGTTCAGGTTAGGACTTGTTACAAGATCAAGGGAYTAAGTCTCATTTCATTTCTTTTTAACTTTGTGTTAAATTTAGAAGGACTTTCCTTCCCATGTTGACACACGGTGTAAATAAGCTAAAATAAAATGGCAAAGCAAAGCATACACTTCCATCGCCCTTCGTTTTGAGTCTTCCTCTGTAGCAGCGTGGGGCCTTTCAGAGGCCCCCTAATCCAGCTAATCTACCACACTAAAGTTTGAAGGTGGCCTAGTCTGACCTAGCATGGCCTGGAACTAGATAGAACCAGGCCTGTAAGACACCATGAAGACAGAACTGAATAGATTCAAACACACATGAAAGTGGACTTGGTTTGTTGTCAGGTTTGAGAAGGTGCACATTTCCCCACTGAGTAAAGTATTTCTGGGTGTTTTGTTCTTAAGGATGGGAGGTTCAGGTGGGCAGGAAATTACTGAGGCTGGTAGAGATGGGGTCCAGCATTTACAATGGTGTATTCATACATCAGGAAGATGCACAATAATAATATTACAATTGAAGAGACAATGTTGTGAAACCTTGTCATGATATACTTYTGTTCACTTCCCTAGGATTCATAGATGCTGTCGTGACTAACATGTTGCACTTAAAAAAGTCCAGTTTACCTGATGAATTCCTGACAAAACACCCTCAGAGTTGTAGGTGTATCTATCATTTTGGTAATTTCTGTTTATCAATTCATTTGTAATCAACATAAAAAAAATATTTCATGGTTTTAGTGAACGTATGTAATAAAACTACCAGCTGCTGGTGTGATACAACCTCTGTTTTCATACTCAAAAGGAGCTTTCTTCCCAGGGTGGGAAAATTTCTGAGAGCTGTCTCTTTAAGGCTGTTTGAAACACAGTCTGAGTGAAGTGGGGGGCGATTACGGGGTATAGAGAAAAAAAAAACAAGTGAGAAACAGACAGTCGGGGGAAAAATGAGGAAAAGAAGGAAGAAAAGGATAAAAGAAACAAGCAGAGGTGGAAAAAGAGTGAGGTTAGCATAGCGGAGCAGCGGCGGGCCGAGTTTCTGTGGAGCTCTGCAGAGTTGGGTGGTTGGGGCCGGACCAGGGGCCGAGGAGCGAAGGCGAGAAAGAGAGTAGAGAGAGACGACCGGCTGCCTGTGTGGTCCAGATGGGAGGAACGAGACACAAATAGCTATAATTTACTTCAGGAGGCCTGTAATTACAGAGCCAGAGTCTCTCCAAGCCACCCAGTTCCTGTTGGGATCAAAACCCTGCACTGCAGAGGTTAACATACGAAATGTCAAAAAAGGTTTAACAGATGTCAGAAAGGTCTGCAAACGGAAAAGCTCCCATTTTGAAGGAGTCATTTTTGATTGGAAATGTGTCGGACTAAAAGCTAAATGGAGTCATGGTGTGCTGAACATGTAATTGCTGCTTTACACTCTGTGTGATGTTTTTCTTCTTCTTCTTAAGTTTAGAGGTACTTGACGGTGTAAAAATGATTTATTAAGTCAAAATGCGCTTCAGAACTTCAAAGTCATCTTCCTTACCACAACGAACTCAATAAACTCACATATTTCATTTATAAAGGTTTTCAAAAGCAATCCTCCTCTCAATGAAACCTTCATGACAACACGGATTAAAAAAAAGGTTGGGGGTTATACATGTTCATCCCATTTTAGGGGTATTTTTGTTTTCAGGATGCACTGATCGCAACATACAAAACTGAAGAAAAAGTCAGCCTGATATTTTCAAAGCCCTGCGAATGTAATTAAAGCCTTGAAAGCGAAGCGTAGAAATGCTGGACTGTTTCTCCAAGGCCCAGAGTTCTAACCTGATCTCACACTTTAGCGGCGAAGGCTGAGTAGTTTGTTTTTTCTTTTCTCCCCATCAATTATAGCAGCCTGTTCCAGGCTGGGGGGAGGTGCAGGGAACGTGAGGGAAGGACAGAAAGAAAAATAAGACAGAAAAAGTGAAACAAATGGAAAGAGAAACCAGTGAAGTCTGATTGAGAATGGGGGATATAGAGATGGTCAAAATGAGGTAAAAGCCAGAACAGAGCTCATCACAGGCGAGTTGGGTAAAACAGGGATGCGAGTTTGGTTTAGAATGGTGGTAGCTCTTGTTTTCAAACTTTGCAGCGTTCTTCTGTTCTCCCCCTCCCTGCTTTCTCTTTCTCTCTTTGGGGTTGTCATGTAGCGGGACAGCAAGAGGGGCAGACAGGCTCTCTGTGATCCAACGCGGCATGTTTCATGTCCACTTGGCACAGGCACAGATCCCCCCGGCTGGCAAACTCTTTTCAGGGCAACCTCCTATAATTAGGGGGCTGGGGTCCACCGCACTGCACAGCATAGCTCTGTCTCTCGTTCCCCACATTTTAATCCTCTATCTAGCTCTTTACCGCTAATCAGAACCACTGAAATCTACATTTCTTTAAGCTCTCAAATACGTTATTCTTGTGTTTTTATTAAAAGCCTGTGAAAGACTCGTCTTCGACTCTTCTGTATAGTTTCCTTCTGGACTTTTTCATCTAAACAGTGTCAAAGTTAAACATAAAACACAGAAAACGAAGCCCATAACAATCCTTTTCCATGAGCTCAGAATGTTTGAGTCCATATCTGCTGCCTGGAGCAGTATACAGTAGAGGGTTTTGGGGCATCAGAAAGCTGGTTTTGCTAACTAACAGGGCACATCTGTTTCACAGAAGCAGCCAATGAGAAGCCATATTAGTCATTTCTGTTGGCCAGACACTGCCTTGTGTGAAGTGCCTTCAAAACCAACACTGGCGAAGGCCAAGGGCGTTGGTCAATATACGTGTGTGTTCTTGTGCAAGCATGTGTGCATGCAGCACGTATGTTTGAATCTTACATTGCAAAAGAATTTTACTGAAGTGTCGTTTTTTAGTTTAAAATAAAAACCTTCTGTGTCCATTTCTTCCCTCTTTGTTGATTTCTAGCTGGCAGTCGGGTGAGCACAGAACTTCGCTACACCAAGGAGAAGCAAGGAGAAGAGTCTGTATTTACCTCACAGATGCTTATCCAGACCCCCAAAGAAGAAGGCACTAATATTCTTACCCAGGAGGCTTTGYTGGTTCACATGGAAGCCGCCCTGTCTGCCAGCAGGGTGCAGGTGTCGCTGTTTGGGAAGTAAGTGAACTTTTTTTTTTTTAACATTGTGGCTTTTGACACTAAGTTGCAATTTAACTCACTTTTATTTTTTTACCCTTTTAGATCGTGGGATCTTAATAAAATATGCTACAAGTCAGGAGTGCCTATCATCGAAAACGTCATGATTGAAAGGGTATGTCAACAATGCAACTACTTTTCATTCCTTTAAGTGCCCATTTCTCACTGATTTGTCGGGTTTAATCAGTCCTGCTTTCTGTGCCTGATCCCAGATGATTGACAAGCTTTTCCCCTGTATGATAATCACCCCATTGGACTGTTTCTGGGAAGGGGCCAAACTACAAGGAGGTTCTGCCTATTTACCGTAAGTCCTGGAATTTTTTTTTGATCCAACATAAACCTCCTTTGCAATGTTACAACGTTTCATAGAAGGGCTTGTGCTCTCTCTGCACTGCGACTGCCTCCGTCCCCGTCCCGCTAGCGCCTTTTGAGGGGGTCCACCACGTTTGGCTGGATGGAGACATACAGTTGGGCTTTCAGTGGTCTGTCAGTGGGCGCTGTGACTGACAGCGGCGGTCAGTAATAGAGTTCTTTTAGGGTCCGAGGAGCGGGGCTGGAGGAGGTGGTTGGTGGTGGGGGTCCTGACAGGGAAATTCAAAGGGAGAAGGTTAGGGGAGAGATGCAGCAAACCGAGGGAGAGGAGATGGCTGCCGCAGCGACCGGGTGGTGGGTTGGTAGAACAGAGGGCGGGGAGGCGGTGGCAGTGGTGGTGGTGGCGGTGGCAGGGGAGCCCTTTGGGTCAGACAATGGTAAGCATTCTTTCAGTTTACGAGTGAGTGTCCATCAGTGCAGGGGCCCCAGAGAGGAGGTGGGGTGGGGTGGGGGGGAGGCGGCTTTGTCAGCTCACGGCTAACACTCGGCATTCTCATGGTAATGCCCTGGGCTCCCAGCTCCCAAGTTGTCCAACAAATAAAATAGGCCGTATTCAAGCCTCAAGTCCCCCGAGAAGGACAGAGAGAGGCTACAAGACAGCTAACGGTGGAGTCTGGGCGTATTCGCAGATTCAAGTTTTTTTTCTTTACCTCTCTCTCCTTTTTTTTGTGGAACAAAGTTCTCTTGAGAAATAGAGTCACTGAAAGGGATTCCTTTTTTTGTTGTCAGAAGTGATATTTCAATCAAGTGCTTACTTTAGAAAAGATAGTTTAGATCATAGCAGATGTTTTTGTGCAACAACATCTTTTGTTTATGTATCTGTTTGAGCCGACTGCGCCGTGTTTGCATGACAAGCCAGCACATACAGAAACAAACTCCAGTTTCCCATCCTCAGCATCTCCCAGTTGGCTTGTGTGAAAGCACTGAAGACGGGAGAAGGGGGTCTTTGATGATTCACGCATCAGCCAAGAGTTCCTGTAACCCATCTAAAGTTTTCAACAGTTGTTGTTATTTATTAGCTGTTCGTTAATTGTTTTTTTATGCGCCGCTAAAGACTACTAGTGAATGACAGCGGCGTCAGTTTAGAGGACTTGTTTAAGGTGCTAAAGAAATGCAACAGGAGGGTAGAAAAGGGAAATTTGAAGGAGACCGATTTGAGAGGAAAGAGGAGCGAGGGTGGCAGAAAGAATAAACTTAGGAGAACAAAAAAGCACCAATCAATGGAAAAAACAAAAGGACCCAGGCCTCGTTCAGTCAAGCAAAAACTAGCTGATAAAGGAGTGTCTTTGCAGCCAGCAGCAAAAAAAAAAGGAGCCTGGTATGTGTGAAAAGGAAAAGAGCTCTCTTCATAAGCCACTGAAGGCCTCCATCTGAGACACTTTTGTATTTTTTTACCCCGTTTTTAGACAAAACAGTGAATAATCACTTTCTAATACTTTAAAATATCCAGTGACAAAGTGTGGATGTTATTTAAGCTCATTTTATTTAGCAGCAATCAAAAATATCATGTATGATCTAAATCAAAAATTCTGAGAACTTAAAACAATGTAACTACACAAATTAAAACATGTGTCCATAATCATCCATCAGCAAAGTTTAACTGCTCCCAGTTTCTCCCTTTCCTCRTCCCTAAATTAATTTTTCCTCTCCCTCCCTCCCATCAGTCCTTATCAAGATGTTTGGGAGGCAGGGGTAATTGTTATGACTCAGTGCAGGGCACTGAGGAATGAAAGTGAGCAGGCAGCCACCCTGCCTTTTCCCTGGGCATTGTGGCAGCGTGAAACAGGATAATAAACGCTATTTTATCCTGTATCTGCAGCTGGCCTCCTGAGTAGGCCTGTGCAGCTGAAAAGAAAAAAAAAAAAGAAAAAAGAAAACCTGATCGATTTTTTTCACAGGAAAGATTTGCAGGAAACGAGTTAAGATCAGATAAGAAAATTTAGAGTTTCATCTTCTTTTATGCCCTAACTGCTTTGCGCTGATTATGACCACACATGTGTGTTTGCTCTGCAGGGGTATGCCAGATATCCAGTGGATGAATTTAGATCCTGTCAAACTGATGGAGGAGTTGAGCCAGTTCACTTCCCTGGAAGGGTTTAAGGAGATGTTGGACAAAGCTCAGGTAAGACACCGAAATGTATTTATTTACTGACTTAATTACCCAAAGACCTTGTTTCTTATCAATGTAGATGTTCGTAGATACTGAGATTTTTGATTCCTCAGGTGGGACATGCTTACATGAACAGGCCCTGTCTTGACCCGTCAGACACCGACTGTCCTCTCAGTGCACCCAATAAGGAAAAGGAGGAGGTAAATTCATACAAATGCAACTTTGGTCATTTTGTGAACAAGATGTAGTAGAGTAGCTCTCACTAGGAAAAAAAACTAACATTTTCTGACTACTTGTCCATTCAGAGTCCTGACATTGCTGGGCGTCTCCAGGGTGGCTGCCATGGTTTCAGCCGGAAGTTCATGCACTGGCAGGAGGAGCTCATCCTGGGAGGGCGGGTCAAAAGCATCCCGGATACTCTGCTGAGGTGTGCATTTCTAAAAAAAAATAAAATAAAAGTACAGGAACTGCATTACAAACTAATCTTGCATTGTCTAAGGTTAATAGTAAGATGTGATTTTCATCAGCCTAGCAGACAGACAATCCATTGCTGGATCTGTGTTTAACCTCCATGAACTTTGCAGACACATGCTAGGAATGCATCGAACTGGGAGAGATCGGTTTCCTGAATGACCCCACTCTTGGATAGGCTAATTAAAGATGATTGACAGCCACATAAAGCCTCCCGCCCCTACTACGCACTGGTTGCACAGAGGAACCAAAGAACAAGGAGAAAAACACGTTTATCTGTCGAGCTCGTGCAAATCTCTTTATTAGATGATCGTAGGAAGTCGTGCCTTTTTTTTTACTGTCATCAAGTGGATTTGAAAAAACACGGTYGGTACAAATGAAGTGACAGGATTGGGTCAGAGGCCAGATCAAGACCCACGCAAGCTCAAGMCACGAGACTTGAATGAAAGAGGATTCTAGTTCCATCTGTGTGAGTCACACTTACTCCTTGGCGGGATTTACGATAATTTCTTTTACATTTTGGGCTTTCGGTGCTGCGGATCTGCGTACTGTGCCTGCGCCAAAAATACTTGAGGACGTCTGTGATCGCAGCCTAGAGACCAGTAGGCAAACTAGATAACGCCTGATTTTTGTTGCTTGCACTGGAAGTCAGACCAGCAGACATTTCCTGGAAAATACCATCTTTTAACCATTTACAGGCATTGCAAAGCGGTGTGAGGTGTTGGATCCACTTTTACTGTTTGACATATGAGACAAATAACGCTCGAATGAGAAGGTTTAATGTGATTTTGTCCTAAGCTGGTTGATGTGTTTTGCAGTGCGGAGGCTCTCCAAACCATGTTCCTGTTGATGAGTCCCAAACAGCTGTACGAGCACTTTAAAGATGACTACGAGATCCATGACATCAACTGGAATGAAGAAAAGGCTACCGCTATCCTCGAGTCGTGGCAGAGGAAATTCGTGGAGGTGCGAACACGTGCCAGTTTCATGCAAAATATTCATTACACATTTTAAAGAGTTAAAATAGACATAATTAGGGATGTGTAGCATTTTTTTCCCCTTCTCTGTGTAGCTTTGCTCTGCATTTATATACACACACACACATATATACACACTCTAGGACTTACTCTGCAGTGTTTGAATTCCATCAGTCTTCAGCTTCCTTGTAAAGTGAATCACAGGGCAGAACAGGGCACCAGGTTTGTGTGTGTGTGAGTGTGTGTGTGTGTGTGTGTGGTAGGGCAATCATCTCTCTCTGTCAGAGCCCTAGTTATAGGAACAAGCTGTTGCCGTGATAGCTGACACCCACCACTGTGAGGGTAAAGGAGGGGAGGCAAGAAACTGAGGGGGCATGTGGAAAATGGGTGTTTGGGGGGTGGCGGTAACAAACTCCAAACGTAAACTGACAGAGGCACGAGACCCCCCCGTGACGCATTAAAGAACAAGAGCAGATCTGTACAAGGCAGCAAAAAAATAGCCTAGACGTACAGGTACATTTTTTTTAATTTTTTATTTTTCGAGGGGGGGAAACTTTGTGCCGTTTGTGGCGCAGCGAGCAGAGAGTGGCCGCCTGAACCATGTGATCCCATCCTTTTCACCTTTGACCTCACAACCTCTGGCATCTGTGCTCATTACTCCTCAGTTGTCATACACACACACACACACATGCTGCCACATGTAAAAACACATTTGCACATCCGCACTCACTTTCAGACGAAAGTGTGTTTCCACGGGACAAGGGCTTTCTTCATTTAAAATACGAGGTATTGAACGGAGAGCTGAGAGTAGGATTTGTAGTTCTGGACATGTTTGATAAAACAGAAAATGCTGTTAGTTGCTCACTTTGTCTAAAGTGTTAAAAAAAAGTGTCTGCTCCTTGTAGGCTTCATGAACAGTGCAATTGTTTGTGGCTAACTTGTTTTCTTTTACAGGTGGTTCACCAGAGCGTCCCAGCTAACTCAAGTCAGTCCATCCATGCTTTCTCCACCACAACCCTCAATGACATTATGAAATCCTTCTCCGATGTCAGTGCCATCAGAGTGGCTGGTGGATACCTGCTCATGGTGATTAACTCATTCTGGTATCATTAATTAACAGCCTAAAAAACAAATCACAGTGTCATTGTGTTTTGTTTTTTCTAAAAAATACTTGCAATTGTCTTCTTTCTAGCTGGCCTATGCCTGTGTAACGATGCTCAGGTGGGACTGTGCCAAGTCCCAGGGGGCTGTTGGACTTGCAGGGGTGCTGTTGGTGGCCCTGTCAGTGGCTGCAGGCCTCGGTCTTTGCTCCCTCCTCGGACTCTCCTTCAATGCCGCAACCACACAGGTACAAGACCGAGAAAAGTGCAGGTTTTAGATGGTTTCAAAGATGGTTTGACACTAAGAGAAATGGGTTAATCCTTTGATTTAGGATCCCAAATTTGATGTTAACTTACTTCAAACGCTCATTCTGACYCTGTGTGTTTCACATCCCAGGTGCTTCCCTTCCTGGCACTAGGGATTGGTGTGGATGATATGTTTCTGTTGGCTCATTCCTTCACAGAAACAGGAAGTAATATCCCTTTTAAGGTACTTTTTAAATACCTCTTCTAAACTTCTCCTCTCCTGTGTGTCCTCCTCTCTTCTCCTCTGACTCGCTTCTGTTTTTTCTTTTTTTTTTTTTGTACAAAGGAGCGGACGGGAGATTGTTTGCGTCGCACTGGCACCAGCGTGGCTCTCACCTCCATCAACAACATGATTGCTTTTTTCATGGCGGCCCTTGTGCCCATTCCTGCCTTGCGAGCATTCTCACTACAGGTACGTGTTTTTTTTTTCTTGTTTGTTGGGGGGCATGCCGGGCAGGGGGGCACAAACCCTCTCACGCCTGCGCAAAGACATAAGCACAACAAGCACACAATCGCACACCGTGAGGCCTGAGGCTCTTTTGCAAATGAAAGAGATAACTTAAAAGAGGTGACATTTATTCAGAGCAAGAAAAAGTCTTTGTTCCCTGTTTTATTGCCACTGCACCTAGAGGGCCAACTAACTTTTTTCCCCCCACTGGATGCAAGTCTTTGCATGTGTGTGTGTGTGTGTGTGTGTGTGTGTGTGTGTGTGTGTGTGTGTGTGTGTGTGTGTGTGTGTGT